ACAGGAGCCAGGATATGACTGACAGCACATCACGTTCTTCGGCCAGCTGTGTCTTCTGCTGATTTTCCATAAAACAATTCCCAGGAGACACTGAGAAGAAGATGCTCACCATCACAGCACAAGTCATCCAGAAGAATAACACATGTCTGACCACACACACGCGACTGTAATCTTTGCTGAGGTTTTCTTCTCTTCACACCTTACTTATTGCATTTTAAAGCTTATTCAAGTCTTTTCTTCAGACATATTTTGATGTGCCATTCTATTACTGGCAGTTAGAAGAGAAAAAGATGGAAAACGTTGCCAAGAACGCATATTCGCTAAAGAAATCAAACTACCCTATTTCTCCCCTTGATCCATGTGTGTTTCCTCACAGTTCTCTTTCCTCTGGTATGACCTAAGCCATGTAGGAGACTTTTGGCAGGGGATTTAAAGAGTTGAACTGCTATTTGAATCAGCACCAAAGCCTCAGAGATTACCATAATTCCTCTTGGAATAAAACTGCCAACTGCACGCTTGTGTGTCTGATGATATGACCTTCGTACTGCCTCTCGCTGATGCTCATGTCTACATAAGCATTTTAGTTACTAAAACAAAGCACCAAAACAAATTGCGTGTTGAGGGTTTATTGTGTGTGTATTTGCACATATTCCTACAAGAACTTAAACTTTAGTAGAGAAAAGATTATGGACTTACAGCAGTTCCAGTGCAAGCGGATGGGAACCAGGAGCTTTCAAGTTAATTTGAACTTTAAAGTAAAGTAAAATAAAATAAAATAAATGGGCATCATAAAAATAATCCATATGGCTTGTGCACTAATTGTTGTTAAAGTCATATGACAATTTTGTGTGCAGAAGATGTTATTAAAACTGAAAATCTTGCCTTGACAGTTATGATCACCATTCGCATTCATTGTGTGAAAAATAGCAGCTTGGACATTCTGATAAATATATCCCTCTGTATTTCACTGGAAAAACATCCTATAGGTTCAAATCAATGTGAGGGTGAGTAAAATGACAGACGTTTTATTTGTAGGTGAAGTTTTCAATTAAAATATGTATTAATATAATAAGAATTAATTAAAAATGTAAATAAACAATCAAAATTCTGCACTCCAGTTAAAAAAGGTAAGCAAACAGTCAATTCAACAGTCAAGCATTTTTTAAAGATGCTAATACAAGAGGAATTTATTGTACTTTTCTAATTTCAATATTTAATACAGTCTCAAATCACCCTAAAGAATACCACATAAAAAAATCATGATCATCCATGTCCAGTCATATATCATTCAAAGACTATTTAATCATTTATTATTATTATTATTTGCAAATCTTAGAGATACCTCAAAGGATCACCCTCCCTGCCAACTTTCCTGCTATCAAACCACTCCTGATCTCGAAGCCCATCGCCTCACGATCCGACCTGCTGCTGTACAATAATGCCCATATTCACAGCCTTCAGCCAGCAAATTGCTTCTCTCATTCCTCACCACACCCTGTGTGCTCAGCCACCTGCAAAACGAACCCTGCTGGAAATTTCACTACAAATTACCCTGTGTCTGCTCAATCCCCCTAGGAGAAGAAAACCCCCTATTCTCTCCAGGAGCCCACAGTAACCATGCTTATCAAACACACATATAGTAAATGACAATAAATCAGCACCTGGATTAAAGCTACAATATATGCATCTTGAGCTTTGGGTGCTTAAAATAATGCATATGTTTGTGTGTGTGTATGTGTATATAACCTATATGTATGCATTCCCATAAACCAAGCCTGAAATTGCTATGTGCAAGAAAGTTTCAAGGGACAAATAAAAGCAATGCCTAAGGCGTACTGTAAATAACAATCTTCTACATGGAATGCTTTCATTTTTTTTCTGCAACTTTAGGATAAGACTGCCCTCTGGTGGATTTCGCTCACAAAACCATCAAACCGGGTGATCTATACATCCAGACGAATGAGTTTGAGGCAAAACTGCCAGGAAGATGAGTGTTGAAAGCTCCTTGGAAAAAGGATTAGGGCTGTTTTGTGGCCACATGGCATGTTGTCAACCGCAGAAGTGAGAAAAGTCTTTAAAGCCACAGTGCCCAAATCTCCTCACTGCTTTTTTACTCAATGCAGATTGACTGATTTGTCCCACAAGTACACAACATTGAGCCTAAGAAAACATAGCACTTCTCTACAAACGCACAACACACACAAATAGCTACTTGCTCCAGGGTTGCCAGGTTTTCGGAACAAAACCTGCCAAATTGCCACTCAAAACTAGCCCAATGTAATTCGAGGGGGGTCCCCGGTAAAAATCGCTTTCAGGGGAGTAAAATACATGTTTTTTGGCGGGGTTCCCCTGGTACAATTCGCATTCCAGGGGCTAAATATCAGTCGTTGGGGTCGCTTCAACCCACGTAGGCTACATGAAAAACAACCCAAGGCAACAGTTTTAAAGTAGCCCAATTCCACGGGAAAACAGCGGACTTGACAACACTGACTTGCTCCCATTTCGAACCCTTCAAAACAAAGATTCCTCTCATACTGATGTGTATTTATCAATGGCAATCAAATATTCTAGACCTTTCTTAGAATGGTTTCAGAAGGTGTTTTCACAGCGATGCCATAGAAGAACCATTCGGCAAACAGTTCTGAACCTTTTTCCACTATAAAGAACCTTTTGTGCAATGGAAAGTTCCATGGATGATAAAGGTTCTTCAAGGAGCCATCAATGCCAGTAAAGAACCTTTGTTTTTAAGAGTCTGGAAATATTCTATGGATGTTAAAGGTTCTTAATAGAACCATTGATGCCATTAAGGAACCTTTATTTTTAAAAGTCTGTGCATGTTTTTAATAGATTTATAGACTGCAAAACCCTCAGAATACACACTATGGGAGGTGCTCAGCTTTTGCAATCTGTGCCTGTCTGTGTACTGTCTTACCAATATTCAAAATTTTAGATAATGTTCCTAAATCTTGGTTCATGCAGAAATCAAAAAGCATTAGCAAATAGATCACATCAGAACTTGTTCTGGGAGTGTTAAGGTTTGCGTAATAACTGCGGTTTGGGTTTGCAGACAAAGAAAGGGGTGGTCCTCTCGCCCTCAGTCTGTGCTGCAGCAGTCGAGATGCAGACGGAGAGAGGGCATGGGGCCAAAGCTGTGGGGCCTGGAGCAGGATCACAGCAGCGCCTGTTTCTGTGAGCTGAGCCTGTGACATGAATCTTTCAGGTTGTGAGATCACATGGGACTGAGTCTAAGCAGCTGTTGAACGAATGCTAACAATACATATTTTTTTTCTCTCTGTAAATTTCTTTTGATTTTTAACTCAATAAAATCATACCCATGTTGACTGTTTCGCTATGGGCATTTCACATTTAAACAATTTGAAATATTAATCCGATATTTGTAGTATGTCATATTTGATATTACCTGCCTGAAGTCTTTTATTGATATGAATACAAATACTATTGTTTTATCCCACCATTACCGATTACTCTGCCATACCATTCAACTAGGCAAATTTGAGCAATAAATAAATCTAGACTGAAAACAAACAAACAAACGGTTATTATAGTTAAATACAGCTAAAAAACTTAAAATAAAACAAACGTTAACTTGTACTTAAATGTATTTTATTTCAGCTAGTTGCCACACATTTCTTTTTCAGTTAGCTTAACTTGAAGTACTAAAATAACTAAAACTGAAAGAAAAAGAATAATAAAAAAATACATAGATTTAAGAATAATGTAAATGACACATAAAATTCCTAACTTTAACTACAATTTAAATGAAAACATAAAATGTGAACATTTTATCTAATTCAAAATATCAATTAAATGCATATTAATGATGCTACAGTAAATAACACTGCTGCAAACTAAAGTGGATGGAAAAAGAAAAAAAGGACAATGAAAACTTGGAGTTGGAGTGCAGAAAAGATGGGAAACACATGGTGTAGGACGGAAAAATGGCTGCAAGTCTGTGGGCAGAGAAAATTTTTGGTGGCCTATTCCCTTTTAGATAAGTTCCAAAAATGACAAAGTTAGTTCCTCTAAAATAAGTAAAACCTCAATTAAAAAAATATAAATAAATACATACATACATAAATACAAATAATAATAATAATAAAAACACTGCACACATTTTTAATCCCTAAAAATCAAATATTGCGCTTGTTAGCATATTCAATGCTTGTTAGCACTCGTATTGTGCAATTTTATATTTAATGTATTTAAGTGACTGATCACGTTCAGAGATTTACAACAATCCGTCACCATTTACCAATACCATAGAAATTAATGCATTATGCTGTAAATTAATGTGTAATGCTCCTTCCTGTTGCAAAAACTGTCTGTGACTCCTCTCCTCTTCTTGTATCACTACTGTACATCATTATTATCCTGAGAATATCATATAAATATGTACCCCTACTAGTCAAAAACATAACTCTGCAAATAATGGTAGCCCTCCGTAATACTTTTCCTAAATTCACCACCATTAGTGTGCTTTTTGCCTCCAGATGTTGTCGACAAAAACAAATAACTAAATGTTTAATGGGTATATTGGCTTTGTTCAGTTTACTATTACATAGACTTAAATCACTCAAAATCCAAAAGGTACTTTACATGAAACATTATAGGCTGCCTTTTTTATTACATAGTTTTTAAATATGTGGCCTTTTCATACAGAATAATGACTGAAAATCAGCTTGGGTCCAGGGTTTCTTCTGTTTACAACCATATAAGTAACTATATAAGACATTACTCAGAAGGCCATGAAGAACCTTTTAAATTGTTTTCTTATTGGTCAACGACAGAACAGCTGTGCGGTTGAATTACAAGACGCCATTTGAAAACTGCTCAATCCTATTACATACTTTATCTTCATCTCTCATACCATTAGAACCAATACCAGAAAATTGTTTTTATTTGAAAAGGATTTTTAATGTATTCATCCATTGGCCATCCCAGTGCAATACACATATGTAAGAAGAAAACAATACTATGACTCAAAAGATATGTTTTAATATCACAATCCAAAGGTCAAAATATGTCCATCTGCACGAGTTTAGCCCTTCCTGTCTGAAATGTCTTTATTGCACTTCTAATGACTGAACAAACAGTTATTTAATACAAGTTCATTATTTGGCACTGCAGGCACTGTAGTGCCTTTCCACATCGAAACAACCATGTGGCAGTAGTGTTCAAAATCAAAACAAAGAAATGGATACAAATTTGAGTTAGCACGAAATACCATTCCTACAAACAGGTATAAAATTGCAAAACATCAAACCCAATTTTATAAAGTACTTTTTTGCTTTTCCTTCTTTGCATTTTTCTGTAATTGCATATCAACGCTTGGTGAAACTATTGCAAAGACAGGACCACAAAAACATGATCAGTTTGATGAGAAAAGCTGTTTCATTATGACTTTTTTTGTATTGTTTTTTTGTTTTGTTTTTCTCCGCAAAGAAAAACTGTTATAACCATTTCATAATTCTGTTAAATAATAGCACCCATAAAACCGATAACAACAGTTTCAACAATCTGAGTGTGGAGTGTAAGCAGATGCAACGCCCAGTTTGTAATGCAAACTCATATTCTCATTTGTTGAATTGTCTCTTTATGTACCTTCACTATGCAAATTAAATTAAAGTGATAGTTCACCAAAAAAACTTGTGTTATCATTTACCCACCCGCACGTCTCTCCATATTCATGTTGCTTTCTTTTTCTCTGGAACACAAATGTTAAATAATGTGATCCTTTTCATGCAAAATAAATTGGGATTGGGTGTGTCGTATTACAAGTCTTTTGAACCCAAATGTTACCTTTTTTATTTTGGATGATCTATCCACTTAAATGAATGTACCATAATAATGTGAACTAGTAATACTAAGTTTATTAAAGTACCAAAGAAAATTGTAGGCATCAAACCAAATTTCAAATTTTCAAGTGTTATACTTTTTTCAAGGTGATTTTCTATTATATTCCCGAGGTCCAATGAGCTGACGCTCACCCAGTAATGTTTGAGGTAGGCACAGTGATGTTGTTCACTCTATTGTTCACTACTGATTCACCATTATCTTGAGTTTTAAAATATACCACATAGAATATTGGCAGGACAATGCCAATGAGCAACATGGCAATTACAGCGTTCCACCACTGGATCCCCCAGTCTGCACCGTAGCTGCGCAAACGCTGGCTTCTCCACCCCCATCGTTCGGATACCCTGGAACCGCTGGAAAATCCCTCTTCTGAGGGGTCTGTGCTTTGGATCAGACGCTCAATGTCACTGTCCACCTCTTTTAGGTAATTGGTGTACTCCTGCACCTGAGGTCTTCCCGAGACGTTTGCTTCAGCGCTGTCTGATGATGCCACATCATTGGAGGGTCTTTGCTGGGGGTTCCTGAGCTCAGAGTTGGCCTCGGTTAGCAAGCCATGCTTCTTTACAGGGATTTTGATGGACTTCAGTGCATACATGTCCTGCTCTTGAAAAAGGTTGTTCACCTTTTTTATGTCAGCCACCTGGAAGCCATAGAAAAGGATTATTTTTAAAGGAAATATTCACCATAACAATGAACTCATCCTTAGGCCATCCAAGATGTAGATGATTTTGTTTCTTCAGTAGAACAGATTTGGAGACATTTAGCATCTACATCTGGGATGGCCTGAGGCTGAGGGTGAATAAATTTGCATCACATTTTCATTTTTGGGTGATCTATTCCTTTAAGGGCATAAATGAGAATGATCTGCGCTATCAAACATGATACCTTGCATCCATATTGAAGGGCCAGTTTGTTGAGATTGTCCTCATGTGAGACGTCCCGTTCCAACAAAAGCATTTCTCCCACTCGTTCTCTCTCCTGTGAGGATGAGTCTCTGCTTCGCGGCCGGAGCTCCATGACACTGAGTTCCTCATCCTCAGATGACACTTCTGGTTCTTCTTGTCTGTGTCTGAACATGTACACTTGGCCATCCGCACTGGCATGTACATCCACTGGAGCCTGAAAGGCTCGAGGGAGAGGATCTCCTCGCCTCATCACTGCAACTAGACCAGTATCTAGAAGAATATACAGTTTGCATAAACAGTACATTCATTTTCAAAGGTTTGGGGTGAGCATTTTTTTTAAAGGAATTCAAATTTTTATGAAGCAAAGATTAATTAAAATGTGACAGTAATTTACAATGTTACAAAACATTTTATTTCAATTAAATGCTGTTCTTTTGAACTTTCTCTTCATCAAAGAAAAAAATATATATATATTTTCCACAAAAAATAAAATAAAATAAAAATTAAGCAGCACAACTGTTTTTAACACAAAATAATGGCTGCTAAAAGAAAACCCACAGAACTAGGCTACATCTAAACTAAAAAGAAAATCACAGAACTAAATGACATTTTAAAATAAATTAGTGCAACAGCTGTAACAATAATAATATTTCACACTATTGCTGTTATTGCACACTATTATTTTTTTTTCGGATCAAATTTTGGTGAGCATACAAGACTTATTCCAAAAATATTTTAAAACATCCCTGAACTTTGAAAGGTAAGTGTTCATCAACTTTGAGCGCTTCTATGCTTTAGGAATTGATTTATATTAATTAGTTGATTTATATTATGTGATTATCACTTGTACAAAGAATACTTTCATTGCACACTATGTGCAATCAAACAGAGATTATGTTAAATTATGCAAAATATGTACAAATATTATTTAATTGTGAATATTTATGATTTATAAAATGCTAGATATAAAGTATTAGCCTTATAAAGATAAAGGAGTTGCATTTTATTAATGTTTAAAATGTGTTATTATTTCCAATTAAAAATGCTATTAAACACATAATTTAAGATGTATTGACAATTAAACTGTGGGAATGTTCATTGTGGGACTGTAAGAAAACATGTTCCGTGTTGCACTGTTATAAATTGGTATTAACTCAAATAAATAATGTATTTAGGGTGTGAAATTTCATTTAGGGTCTTTTAGGATCATTTATTTTCTACAGGACCAATAGTGCCCATATTTGAAAAACAAAACTCCAACATATTACTTTAACTCTTGCAGGGAAACAGCATTCTGTCTGCAGTCAGGAGATTTACAGAAGTAAGAACAGGTAGAAATCAACTTTATTGTAATAAAATGTTTGTAACTACAGTAAGAAACATACTGCAGAATGCAAACAACACGAAGCAATGCATTATTGTTCACGAGCATACATCTACTGGGATTGTGACATTGTGGAGACTTAAAGTAGCACTACTTCAGAAAGAAATCAGAGCTGGAAAGTGATTATTGTCTGTAGCTGAAACAACATAGAACACCGTTACATGAACTAACATTGACTGAAAAGATTGTTCCCCAAAACTGCACAAAACACAAGGCATAAATCAACAAAATATACCTTACATTTGTTAAGAAAAGGGAGTATGTTTACAGTAAACACTTATAAAGGTTACAGTAGCTGACACTCGTAACGTTAAGCTAATTATATACTATCATCTCCGAAGTTAAACATCCGCTTTTTCAATAGCTTTGCCAATTATTGAGTTGAATCTGAATAATACTCACCTTTCTAGACAAAAACAGCTACATGGTGCTGACAAAAATATCCCCAAGTGTCATTTCAGAAACTTCATGACGCAACCGAGCGTGCTGGTGTTGGCGAGAAGGCCACTGTAGATTGACAGGTCCTCCAGCCAATCAGCCCGTCGAAGAAGGCGACTCCTCTACAGTAGATTACGCCGCCTATTACATAAGTGGTTGCGTTCCCGATATTTATTATTATTATTTTTGTAAATAATATATGACGTCTTTATTTCGAAATCAAAATCTGGTGTCAGGCTTTCAATTAAAATGGTAAAGTGCCATGGTGCATTACTACAGACTACCCAAGACTATAAAGTTTCTCTCTGTTAAGTGTGGTTGAGAACACGGGCGCCTCTTACGTGTCACGGCAGGATGTGAAGGTGTGTAGTTGAAACAGTAGGTGAGCAAATGTAATCATTTTATCAACAATTGTTACTACCTATAATCATAACAAATTAATATTGTATCTCCTTTAATATCAGTATTAAAGCAACCAGCAATGAAAACAGCTAATATTTTTTTGTGGAAACGTTAATATTTTTTTCTTTGATGACTAGAAAGTTTAGAAGATGATTTATAAATATGTTGTAATCAAAGACATTAAATGTAGGCCTATTTAATGCCACTTTTGATCAATTTAATGCATCATTGTTGAATAAATGTAGGCTAATTTCTTTATATACTGTAAAAGATAATATGATAGGCTAGTCACACAAATCTGTCAATATCTTTCAATCTTTCAAAATTCTTCTGACCATATCTGAACAAGTCTGAAAATTCAAAAGCAGTAACAACAACGGATGTGGGTTATTGTGTTGCATTGCTTCCGTGTTGATATTCAAACAAGTCAGTTGAGGTTGGAAACAAGCTGTGGGTAAGGCATTCTGACAAAAATCTGAGCTGAGCACGAAAAGGACGATTCACATGGTTTCGAAAATCTGAAATATTTCGAAAAGGTCATGCAGGTTGTTGTCAGTGGAGTGAAATGAGGGTGATTAAATGATGACAGAATTTTCGTTTTGGGTTAACTATCCTTTTAATAGGTTTAAGGAGATTATAGCCTACATAAATGCATACTTATTACATATATACACTACCAATCAAAAGTTTTTGGACAGTAAGATTTTTAATGTTTTTTTTTTTTTTTTTTAAGAAGTCTATCCCTGTGTATCTCGGTTAATCTGTGTATATACAGATTACTCTGCGATAAATGTGCTGACAGTCTCCGAAGGATCTTTTCAGTCAGTCTACTTAGCAGCACTTCTCAGTTAGACCTCAAGATGTCGCCATATATCTGCAGTAGTTTCAAAACAATTTGCTCAAGGATGGTTTGCAGTAAAGCGTTTTAAAGCTCTATTTGCCAAAGGTCCATGTCCCTCATTCACCTTCTTTGTCAGAATATTCTTTGTCAGCATCAGAGGAACTTCTCTGCTCCGGTCTAGGAGTCAATTACCATGGCAGGGCTGTGTCAGAGCACGCAGTGCTATTGAGGTGCTTCAGCTCAGGCTCAGCAGTTCATGATGGAGGACATGAGCCTGCCGTAGTTGATCCACATTTGGACACTGATGTTGGGAGCCCTGGGACATTTGTCAGTCCTCCCTAAGCTTGACTAGCAGGGTTTGTTTGAGCAGATAATGCCTTCTGCTTGCCATTATGGGGTCAGGTATAACAGCAAGTTGCACACACATATTTGTGTGTGTGTGTGTGTGTACCTGGTATTTATCACGTTATGGGGACCAAATGTCCCCACAAGGATAGTAATACTAGTCAATTTTGAGGTCCCCATGAGGAAACAAGCTTATAAATCATACAGAATGAGTTTTTTTGAGAAAGTAAAAATGCACAAAGTTTCCTGTAAGGGGTAGGTTTAGGTGTAGGGTTGGTGTAGGGCAATAGCACATACAGTTTGTACAGTATAAAAACCATTACGCCTTTGGAATGTCCCCATAAAACATGTAAACACAACGCGTGCGCGCGTGTGTGTGTGTGTGTTTTGACACTGTTCTTGTGCTGTGTGAAAAAAGTGATATTTTCAAATCCAATTTGGGCCATTGTCATGGTCACACAACCCAAGTGTGAACTGTCAAATCGGAATTCATTTTCAAATTAATTTTCATTTTAGTGTTAATTAACATCACACATTACAGTGTAGGAGCAAATGCTTGTCATCGTTCAATGCACACTTTGCCTTACCAGACAAAATTATAACGAAGCAACAGAAAACACACTGAAATAACGAATGTAATTGATTTTTGGAAGAAGCTTCAATTGAGAATACGGGAATGTATTGTAGTCAAATAAATCTGTTAGTCTTGTAATATGTAATTCAACTTATTACACAACATGCAAGTTCACATATGTGACCCTGGACTACAAAACCAGTCTTAAGTCGCTGGGGTATATTTGTAGCAATAGCCAAAAATACATTGTATGGGTATTTTTCTTTTATGCCAAACATAATTAGGATATTAAGTAAAGATCATGTTCCATGAAGATATTTTGTAAATTTTCTACTGTAAATATATCAAAACGTAATTTTTGATTAGCAATATGCATTGCTAAGAACTTAATTTGGACAACTTTAAAGGCGATTTTCTCAATATTTCGATTTTTTTTGCACCCTCAGATTCCAGATATTCAAATAGTTGTATCTCGGCCAAATATTGTCATATAACAAACCATACATCAATGGAAAGCTTATTTATTCAGCTTTCAGATGATATATAAACCTCAATTTCGAAAAATTGACCCTTATGACTGGTTTTGTGGTCCATATTTGACATTTTTGCTGTTGTTTGCATCCATTTGGATACATTTTTGTAAATATGCAGGTCATTTCAGGTCAACGAGCAGCAGCAATGTAAACAGACAAAGAAAAACTATCAGTTTTCAGAAACTTTTCTTTTCTTTTCTTGCATAATGCATTGACATTACAGTACAAAATGGCTTTTTTGGCATATCCTGAACAACTGTAAGCATTAATTTCATATGAGAGGCTCTTGGGAGCATGCGTAAACGTCATATAAAATAAAATCGGAAACTATTTAATTATCACCAGATCTTTTAGTAATTATATAACTGCTCACTGCTGAAAGTCAATGACAGGCAAATGTGCCATTCATGCACAACAGTACAGTTAACCTTCCCAGTACAATCCTTCCAAGAACTGGGCATATGTGCATTCTCAGTGGCAGATTACACAGACGACGTGATCTGATGAGCATACAAGCTGTTATCTGGGTCAGCGCTAGTCTCCAATTTCACGCCCTGAAACATCCATCATATCTGTATTGCTCCTCTCCACGGAGTTCATTGACCTTCGTTTCTTGGCAAAAGCAGACTGTCACCAAAATTTATTTGCCATTTCTGTGAGTTAGCATGTATGTTTAGCTTGTGTTTTGAAGTGTGGCGTGCTAATAGAGGGACGACTGCAGTGGAGCCTGAGCTAATTGAAGCTTTGCATGTTTCACTGCTTCCACTCCTATGAACTGTTGACATTTAACTGACCCCATGATATATATATAACTCTTGTAAGCCACTTAAGCTTTTAAAAATAAGTCAAATTATTTTCATATACAGTATGTCACAGTATGTGTCACATTTTACCGTGCATGCACAGTTAACACCAAAAGCCCTTCCAAAAAGGGCAATCAACTGACCTTCAGTCGACTCCATATGGTACCTCAAATAAACTGTAAGCACGGCGCTTAACTACAGCTGACCTATTTTTACATAAACGCGCAGTGAGAATTTCAACACTTCCTTCTGACCTAAAAAAACATTTGCTTACGGATAAGTACGTTTTACGTAGAGTAGATGCTTAGCAACTGTATTCCTATTGATTTTTAAATTGGTTTAAATTGTCACTGATTCAAGGTAACAGATAGCAGCTGGACACTTTTATAATTGTCTTGACAACACCTTCATCCAATGCAAAAACCTCCCTGAAGGGGGAGCAGGAGCAAATGTGACAAAACAAAAATTATCAGGAAGCAGTACATCATATCATTTACATCACATTCAGATGCAGGGTGCTACTCTGAACACGGTGCAACAGAGTGGCATAACATGCTGTGTTTCTGGGCCACTGAGCAGCATGTCAAACTGACAGAGAGAGAAAAAAAGATGGAGAGAGATGCAGAGAGAGAGAGGAAGGTCAGATGCAATGTAACAATGAAAAATTTGCGGGTAGTGTGGCAGAAGAGCAACAAAATTGCAATCATGATACAGTATATACAATTTATGTCTATTTATCTACATACTGAACTACATAGACACACACACATATTATTATTATTACTATTAATAATACCAACAACAAAAACAACTAAAATAATAATTTATTAATAATATTAAAATAATAAATATGTATTACTATCATAATTATAAAACGTAAATGACAATTATACTTAAATAACAAAGCTAAATATATTGTATTGTAATTAAAAGTATCATTCTTTCACTTATTATGTATTAATATAATAATTATATGTTATATATAAATATTATATATGTTATATAATTACCATTGCTTACCATAAGTATGTTTTATATCAAGTATATTCTTAGCAATTGTATTAAACGTTGATTTTTAAACTGGTTTAATCTGATTCAAGTTTCAGATTTAACACAATAAAGAAAATGCATTACTATATAATATGATATATAATATAAAAAAATGATTGTAATTGATAATAAACCATTATGAAACCAAATTTATTTCATACTAAAGTCAACATAAAGCCATTAAGGTTAAAATATGTGACAGACAACAATTTATATCGTATCCTTAGCTTATTTTTTAATATAGGGTGTATTTGGATGTATAGGATGTTTTAAATGTTCATTTGATCTGTATCCACCTCTAGATGGCAGCATAGTCCTTTGTATTTAAAATATATTTTAGCCAGATGTTAGATATTTTCCAATATTGCTAGGGTTTAAAGATAAACACACACACAGACATGCACGCACAGACGCAGATGCACACGCACACACAACAAATTCATTATTTTGTGTGATGGCCTACATATTGCAAATAATAATGTCTGTACAAATTTGATCAACAGCCTTATTTCTACTAAACCTAAATCT